CCCCAACCACACATGGGTTGCCGGGTGTATAGAAGGAATCCACTGATCTTCCCCTTTCCAAGGATGCTGGGGAGACCCTTGCTCTTGCAGAGAGTTTAGATTGGGCAAGAACTGGCTTTCTCGTTTTGACATTCAGGGAAGACGAAGACTGCAGTTTGCTACTCCCTGGGGAAAGCTTTGGGAGTCAGCCTGGGGACAGAGCGCCTCCCTGCACACCAGGCCCTCCCCTTTTCCAGCCTCCCACAGACCCTAGATGCTCTGCTCAGAATCACAGGCTGCTGCCAATTACAAAAGGACTCTTAACTCCGTTTTCGCAGCCCCTTGATTGATAGCACTGGTGAGTGAAATTATAAGCCTTAATGATCACGTTAATTTCTGGGGAAAGGGAAGCGGTCAGAAGAGGTTCTCAATCACAAGCGCCACAATCAGCTGGGTGAGTTCAATGACAGGCCAGAGCAGGAAAAGAGGGGGAAGAATTAACTTTTTAAAAGGTCACCAGAGAGTAGGGGGAGAGAAGCCAGGCATGAGGGACGAGGGTCACCCACAATCCTGGAGTCTGAAGATATACCTTCTTTTCTGGGTTCTGACCCCTGGAGTCACTTAGGGGGCTTTAAAAATACTGAAGGTAGAGTGTGGGCTTATCATGCAAGAGATCCTGGATTCACTACCTCCCTTCTACCATCACCCCCAAAACAAAACAAAAAATCTTGATGCCTGGGCCCCATGTAGAGATGCTGGTGCGATTGGTCTGTGGTGTAACCAGGACACAGAGTTTTGAAATCTCCCCAGGTGATACCATGTGCAAGCAGGATTGAGAAGGATGTGTCTAAATGAAAAACAATTAGTAGAATAAGTAGCCAAGGTTGAGTACATCTGGAAACGTCCTTACTCTGATTAGTTCTTGCCACCAAGGAGAATTTTCTGGTAGTCTCCTGGCTCCACAATGAGGTGTTAGATCAGAAGGAGGGGAATTAGACATTGAGCCTAGTACTCCCTTTCACAGATGAAACCCCAAGAGGAGCAGAGAGCTGATTTGCCCAAGATCACATTGGTCTTAACTAGAACCCCGGCCTCTTCACCTGGGCTGGTGCTCCTTCTCCTGGGCTCATGGCTGGGGAGAAGATGCCCTAGACTGACCATTGGTGGGACAGGAGCTATAGCTTGTCTTCTAGACTTCATGAAAGAGTAAGCCAAATCTTAGTGTCCTGGGACAGTGTGATTGGCCTGTATTAGAGATACATTTAATCTTCATTCTGAAGATTAAACCCATGCCTTGGCATCCTCAATACATTGACTCCACTCATGGCTTCCCAGAAGAGCACTACAGCACTTTATCACATCACAAAGATGCCCAGGATATGGGGCAACATCCTGGTTTCTTCATCCGAGAGTCTGATCTCTGCCACACTGCTGACAAGCCCAGCTGACAGTGTGCAGCTGAAAGTGTTGATGACCTTCTTGAACAGTGTCTGTGAAGGTCAGCAGTATTCAGAGAAAAAGGCTACTTCATGTTCCAAATGAGTTCCAAAAATCTCACAACATTAAAAATACAGACTACATGGAAAATAAGCCATTTTGGCATTTGTGGTAAAAGTTATTTAGAGTTATTTAGTTATAGAGAGTTAATGTTCTTGAGTTTCCACCTAAGCTAGGAATTAAATCCAAGGCCTCATATATGCTAAACACGTGCTTTACCTCTGAGCTACACTTAATCCCCATGTAACTGGGCTTCTTAGATCAGCATCTTAGTTACAGAAAGCATCAGACAAGCTATTTCTACATTTTCACTCACCTACTTTGTATTGACTTCATTGTGACATGGATACTCCCAAAATTTAATGAAGAAGAGGCCTGGGCTGGAAATATGGGGAAACCAAGCTCTGACCATGGGTACAGGGTGAGACCTACTTAGCCAGTCCAATATGCATGGTAAAAGAGGCATTTTCATAATAGAAACATATGCATTCTCTGTATTTTTCTAATAGCTTCTGAAGTGTTCATCAAGCCTGTGTCTGATTAAGCACTTTTAAATTCTGAGCAATGAAATGGGCCCTCTCATACCCTCTTGGCAGGAGTGCAAATTGATACAACCCTTTTGGAGAGCCATTTGGCTGTAGCTATCAAAATTAAAAATGCATATAATCTTTGACCCAGAAACACCACTTCTAAGAATTTATCCTACAGCAATTCTCCCACAAGTCCTCAAAAGTGTACATAGAAGCTTGGTTCTTTGCAGTTTCATTTGTTATAATGAAAAACTGCAAGTAACTCAAGTCCATCAACAAAGAATTACTTGGATAAACTAGAGTGTATTGTAAAATGGAATGTTAGGCAGATAAATTGAATGAGATAGAGCCTTGTGTACCCACTAGAAGAGAGTCACACAAGTGCACACATACGTGCATGCATGTGCACAAACATACACAAAGTTTATAGAAAAGTAGGGTGTTTCCATTTTTATAAAAATGATTAAGAAAGGCAGCCATATACAGGTCTCTGGCCAATGGGGTCAGTTCTTGGACTTCTTGATTTGATTAAAAACTTGAAACTGTAAGTAAAATAATTTGAAAGTCTCCATTCAGTTGCTGAACACATCTCCTGTTCTCCCTCTTCCTGGCATCAAAGGACAAGTAAAAATCATTCAAATGCAAATGTAAGTAAGGCTCCTACCCAATGGTCGTGATATAGAAATAACCCTTGAAAAAGGACCCTCCCAGATTCAGAAAACCCATCTGCTAAAGGGGAAGTTCTGCAGTTTTTGACTACAGTACAGGCTCATTCTCTCGTACGAATGTTTAAATTGTCTATTTTGAACCTGTATATTCAGAGACCACTGCAGAACTTCCCCTATTACGCCAGCCACTAGAGGATGTCCATCTTAAAACTATGAGAGTAAGGGGGTCTTAAAGGACCCAAGGAAGTCATCTTAAGGGTACGTCCAGTAGAAATCCCCCAAATCTAGAAGAAACAGCTACTTATTTCTGGGCCTTTTCAAAAGTTGAGAGTCAGATTTGGTTCTTGTTTGTAATGGCAGAGATGCCTCCAGACAAAGACATTCCAGAGGGAATCAGTATCCTATGGCTTGCCATAGGAATACTATTCCCTTTTAATTTTACCGAAACTACTTGAAGTAGATTATGACTGTACTAGATTTTATTATGGTTCAGTGAATCTCCTCCCCTTGTCCCACCTCCATAGGAAGAGAACGCTCCCTTGCCCTCTTGAGGTTGAATTTGGCCTTATGTCTGGATTTGGCCAGTGAAAAGTGAGCAAATCTAGGCAAGTAGCATCTTTAAATGCATTTGCATGGTTGGTCTTGCCTTTTGCACTTCAGCTGCTGTCATGAGAAGAAGCTGCTATAGAGAACGAAGCTGCCAATCTTGAATGAGGAAGCCCTGGAGCCAAGCCCTGCAGAGCTAAGGCAACAGGCAATCCTATGAGCAAGGAATTAAGTTTGTGGTTACAAACTTTTGGTGTTGTTTGTTAGCCAGAAATATTAAAACTAAACTGGACTAATATATAAATGGACAGCCTCAGACCCATTACCCAATTTACCAAATCTTATCTTTGATCTCATAGGTGTGTCAGACTTTTTCCCTTATAAAGTAAACCATTACAGAAACATTTTATAATCCTCTTGGTATCCCTCATAAATCCCACCAATACCCAGTGGTAACCACTATCATGAGTTATCATTTATCTTAAATATTCATGCACATTTTAAATGTTGGCAATACATTCATATATCCATAAACATTATCTAGTATTATTCTGTGGATTGTAAAACCTAATATAAATGATGCCAAGCTGTATGCATCCTTTGCAGTTCACTTCTCCTCTCCCTTCAAGACCCATGAGGAAGCTGGGTGCAGTGGTGCAAGCCTATAATCCCAGTGGCTTGGGAGGCTGAGGCAGGAGGATCACGAGTTCAAAGCCAGCCTCAGCAACTTAGCAAGACCCTGTCTCTGAATAAAATATTTAAAAAATGGGATGTGGTGTGTGTGCTGGGGATGTGGCTCAGTGGTAAATTGTCCCTGAGTTCAACCCCTGGTACAAAAAAAAAAAAAAAAAAAAAAAAACTCCTGGTGAAGTGTGGGCTCTAGTCATGCCCTTTAGCTACACTGTCTATCTACTGTATCTATTGTCTGTTGATTGACATTTAATTGTTAAATATAAACAGAGTTGAAAGGGACATTCTTATATATACATATTTGAGTACCTCTCTGATTTTCTGTTTTTGGCGAGTGTGTGTGAGAGAGACTTGGGATCAAACCCAGGGCCTCATGCACCCTAGGCAAGTGCTCTACCACTGAGCTATCTCCTCGGCCCAACCTTGCTTTTCTCTGTGAAATCAGTAGAAAAGTGCATGACTGATGGAGCTTTCACACATACAGGTCTGCAAGGTCATTCTGTCCAAAGGCAGAGGGATAAGCAACCCTTGCTGGGGCTGCCACTCAGGAGCCCAGAGTGCCATGACCTTGGGCAGCTGGATTTCCACCACTGGCCTCTGGCAGTGGGACCAGTGTCCTGAGATTTGCTGGGAACATCTGGATGACTGTCTCTGGCTCCTTCCACATCTTACTTAACAGTGGAGATCTTCAAGCTTTATCTTTTTGATCATTCAATGATATCAAGTTCCTGGTCAGGACTGAAATGTTGGCAAGAAAGTTAGAAACAGAGGAGGGAATGAAGACCGTTAATCGGCCTCTTTCTTCCTCACACAGCAATTTTTCTAACAGATGCAATTACGTTTGAGAGCTGTAGAGAACGGAATCTTATGTTTTATTTCTTTATTCATCATTTTACAAATGGGATTCACTGTAAAAAGGAAATTGCCTTTGTGGTTCTGTTCCTTCGGCTCTGTGCTGCAGTGCTCTGAGCCTTGGTTTTAACAGCAGCTGTAGCTGCTGCCACCTCATATCTGGGGAGTGAGAACCCACCAGGGAGGGTGGTAAAGAAATCAGGCAGAGTTTGTTTAAATTCAATATATTTTTATTCTTTGTAAATACAATGAGTACAACCTTTTAACTTCACAAATCAGTTAATTCACTTTGTACAAGAAAAGTTTTACTCCTCCTATGATAGTCCAAGTGCTGAAATTTTCTTCTCAGTGCTAGTACCTAATAAATCAAAATGTGAAAAGTACAGCAGCTATTTAAAAATGTTTGTTTCTACATTTCCATAAGTATAGATTCATACCAAAGGAGCAGCTTATAGCATAGGATGATGTGGTGCATGTGTGTGTGTGCGCGCGCGCGTGCGTGTGTGCCTGTGTGTGTGTGTGTGTGTGCGCGAGCGCGGGCGGGCATTCAAGGCTTTACTAGAAACCAGAGTTTTCTGAAAGGCATTGAAGAGTCTCAGGCTGTTAGCAATGGATCAATAGGGAAACTGCTTGGTGCTCATCTCCTTGAAGTTCCTTCTGGCATTGTGTCCGCTTTTGTTTACCGTCTGCTGTGACTTGCTGAACCACGAGTGTGGACCCCATTGCCTTTGGTTTCAGCACGACCTTAAAGGGACAGCAATCTGCCTCACTCAATCACTCATCTCCACTTTATTTGGTTTTGCTGTTTTTACTCATCTTCCCTCGACTTGTGTTCTTTTTAGTAAAGCTCTTCTATCTTTGAGATGTCATCCAACCTGAAATCCTGGTGAGAATCTCATTTATGTCCACCAATTCCTTTGACAAGGTTGCCTGGCCTATGGTATTAAAAGAGAAGGAAAAGGAAAAGTTGGCGGGGGCGGGGGGGGGGAGGTGTGGAGAAGAAGACAAGGAAAAAAAAAGAAGAGAAAGGGGGAAAGGAGATAGAGGAAAAGCAAATCACACAGCATAAGCTAATTTTCACGTATTAACTCGGTTCTGAAGGCCACTTAATGATGTATTACAATAGAAGGGAAACTTTTGATAATACTCTTGATTTCAAACCTAACCATTCTTTTTAAAATAAATTCTCCAACATAACATAGTTCCGAAGGCTGCAGTACGATGTTATACACAGAACTATATTGGATCACCCAACTCTATGTGCTAATAAGGAAAGGAAAGTACGACTCGTCTTTCAGCTTTTGAAGCTTGGCCAGATCTTCCAGGTCAGAGGCAGAACAGCTCGGCCTGTGGCAGCCCCCAGTTTTCCCCTCCCAGGGCACAGCAGCTGCCACGCAGTCCTCTTGCACCCCCTTTCCTTCCTGGCTGCCCTGCCCTGGTGGAGGCAGCAGGTCTTAGCTACTGGAACTGTTGTGTGTCAGTTGGCATTTTTTTCCTGAAGGCTACACATTCCCAGGTTTCTGCTTCCTGAAGGGTTTGTTAGTTGAGGCTTGTTCTCCATGGGTAGAAGTTCATCTGATACTGTCCCATCCTGAAAAGTGGGTACTTTGAGAGCTTAGATATCACTGGATTTGTACATATCTGAAAGCAGTCTTGTAATTGGCACGTTGCCGATGGTTTTTTTGAAAAACACTTCTTCTATGGTTGATGGGCTGATAGAACGTAAAGCTGGCAAAAGCAACAGGAGTTTTCCAAAGCGGCAAGGCTGCGTGGGGTATCTGGAATATGAGAAGCCGTGAGAGCAATGTCAGAGCCCCTTTCAAATGGGAATTAACATCTTGAACCTGAACACACACCATTTCCAGTATAACTCCCTGATGTGGGCCTCTTAAATAACATCCTGCCCCTGCAGGAGAGCCCTGGACAGGTACTACTGTTCCTGTCTTGCAGGTGGACTACTTGAGACACGGAGAAGATTAACGACACGGCACAAATCACACGGTGACTCTCTCTGCATTAGCAAAGGGGTTGCATTTTGTTCAGAAAAAGAAGAGTCTTAAGAAACATAATACCAACTTTAAGCCAAATAACAAACTTAACTTTGCCACTGTAGAAAATGACTATGGCGCTGATGATAAAGACAGTAATAGAACTTTCGTTTTCTAGTCCTCAAGTCTCCTTCACAAGGCTACTTCCCTCAAATTAAATGGTTTCTTTTTCTAAGCAATTCTCCAAATTATTATTCAGGCATTATACTTAGTCACTCTCAGGAATAATTCCATCCTTATTACACTGCAAATTAAAGACTAAGTTCTGTTGGGTGGCAGTGCCACCCAACTTTCATGTCAATGAAATTGGCATATAATTAAATATGTGAGAAATTGCTTAACAATTTCCTCTCTTGATGTCCAACATACATCTGTACTCAGATGTGCAAGTTCAATTTCCTGCTGTCTTTAGATGCCTGTAAGCCACCTTCTCACTGCAGCCCCCATACCCCTACCAATAGCTTAAAATCAGATATCAATTCGCTCCACAAGGAGGGGTTCCTCCACTGAAACAAACCACCTAAAAAAACAAGCTGCAGGGCATGCTGTGTGACTAAGCCAAGTTCAACCCAGTCCACAAGGTGCTGGAAACAGAGATATCAAAATTCTTTTAAAGGAATTTGGTAGCTGTGTTTAATTGCCTGGTATTTCCACCCTGAAGATAGAGTCCAGGGGAGCAACTTTCATTCTTGTCTCTTAATAAATAAGAGTCTCTCTCTTCAACTGGATACGAGGCATATAATTCATTATGGGTCTCTGAGGACCTCATTTGGCTCTTACACTACCCAACTTCATGCATGACCACCATGGACAGGGGCCACCAGACCACATTTAAAAATGTGATAGGAAAATAATGAAGTTTATCTACATTAAAACAAAAGAAAACATAAAATACATCATTTTTTCTCCTTGCTGAATGTATCTGCCAGGGTTCTCCCATGTCTCATGTCTTTCTGTCACTTTGACCACTTTCTCTCATCAACAGTCCTTCTTCATGCAGAGGGTCTGAGGCAGAGGCTACTTAGACAAGCTGCACCTTGTCTGCAGCATCCACCCCATATGCCAACCATTGCCCATGGTAAGAAACCATTGTGGGAAATAATGATGCTCAGAAAGCATACATTTTTGGTGAATCCATAGATAATTAATTATTAACTTTCTATGAATAGTTTTCCACTTATTTACTCACCCACTTCCTTTATTCTCTATTTGGGAAAAGGCTGGTTGGCGTCAGTCAACAAGAATTAATTGTCTATTACATGTGGAGTAATGTACCACCCAGAAACAGTAACAATGTGTGAGAGAGACAAAATCTAACTGCTCAAAACTATTTTTTAGAACATTTATAGCTCTGACTTCATCCATTAGCACAAATAATAAGAAGTTTCTTTTCCCATTTTGAACGTTTTGTGTCTACCACAGAGTTCTGTATTTGAACTTCAGTTATAACATAGTTTTGTGAAATGCCATTTTCTAGCCTTTTCCTGATGTCCTAGATAGAGAAATAATTTACAGAGCTGTAACAATTAGCTCAATTTGCACATTAACTTTTTATTTCAATTTCAGATTTTATTTTCCTAGACAGGAAAGTGCTGGAGGAAAGAAGACTAACTGATTTGAAAGAGCTAAGGAATACATCATCATTTATGTCACATGTATGACCCTAGATATTAAGCTATAGCTGTAGCTGTTATCATGAAATAAGAACTCATGCTGAAGCAGAAGTAGTCCTCCTACAGATCATTTCCTTGAGGAGTGAAAAAGATGTAGTGGACTAGTTGTTTCTCTTATATAGAAAGAATGGAATTCTCCTGGACCACTCTGTGGGCAGCTTCTGGTGTGCCAGGCTCCCAGCCCTCCCCCTGGCACACTTCTCTGGCACCTCCCACAACACTGCCACCAGCTCACCGACTGGCTTGCTGCACCCCCTCTTCCCTGCTGAAATCCTTCCACCATTCAAGGACCAACTCACATCAGTCAGCTTTTCCAGATTTTCCTCACCCCCTTCCAATTGATCTCTCCAACTTCCCATTTTACTTTTCTCTCCTCTCTGGTGTGAACTGGAGTGACATCTCTGCCCACTGTACATAATGGAAAGGGGCATGTCTTTTGTCTTTCTGGCATCCCACGATGCCCACCTGGAGCCTTGTGCATGGCAAGTACTCAGCAAAGGCTTGACTGAACCAAAGGCTGAGCATCTCATTCTTAGTTTGGTGCTCTTAATATCCTATCAGCTCTAAATGTCAAACGTCAGACTTTAGTGGGAGAAAAGTGTGCAAATTATGTACTAGTCCATTTGTCTTTGTTTTGCTTTTTTCATTTTGTCATTTTGAACAAACATTGTTACTATAGATATGTTCTGAAATTCAACATGGATTTTAAATTTCAAACTATGGCACTTTACTTTGGAAAAACATATACACATACACTGTCTTTCAACATAGTTTCAATGATATTCCATGTGCAGGTAAACTTTTCTTCATTCAGCTTTCAAGAGAGGATTTATGATACTAAAAAGGAGATCCTAGCAGAAATGGTGTCACTCCAAACTGATAGAGCTGACTTGGGATTTCTCCGACCACTCATGTGAGGGAGGCACCGATGACCTCTACCTATTTCATGTAGTTATTCCCACCACAGTGTCTATGGCTGATGTTGAGATGATGGAGGCAGGCCTTCCCAGGTCCCTTTCAAGATCAGTCTAGAGAATAAACAAGAATAGCCAATTCTGTTCTATCTCATATCCACCACAGTCCTGTCTTAGGAAGCTAGAGAGGCTCCAATTGCTCTTGCATCCATTTTGCAACTGAAAATGGAATCAGAAAGTCTACACCTCTTGGTGGGCTTGCCCAGTGCTGTTGAAGAGTTTCTACAAATAGCTAGGGCAGCCTCTACCAGAGGGCCCTGGTTGGCCAGAAGTAACCTGTGGTTGCTAGTAGCCAAAATGACAGATACCCATCACTGAAGCCAAATAGCAGTTATGTTAGGGGTAAAGATGGCTTCTCTAGAAAGTTCTCTGGTCCTTCTACTGGGAGTGGCATCTAAGGAAAGGCATCTTACCTTTAATCAAGAATAATGTAACCATTATTTAATATACCAACCACAAAACTTTAGACTTGGCTTTTGATCCTTCCCATATCCATTCATGCAAACATGTTTAACTATCTTGGTTGGTCAACTTGTTCATCCAGGACAGTTGTAATGTTTCTCACAAAGCTTTCACTTTGATCACCTAATTTGATTTGCTCTTCTCACCCACCCTGAGAGATGGGTGAGGACATAAATTCTAACTAAATTAACTGGTAGGCAACAGGATAATTAGTCACAATGTTTAGATTGGCTTATTCCTGCCTGCTTGCACTTTCACAATGGAAGCAATTTTCTTAAGTACATGTTCAAGGCAAACAAGAGTCACCTGGTATGGATGTAGCTGTTGAGAGTTAGCTGAGCCTCATCTTGAAGAGCTGCAATGGCGGCAGCATTCCGGAAACTTCTCAGTTCAGAACCACTGTGTGTAGGAACTAGAAATGAAGACCAGGAAACTGTGATAGGCAACACAGAAAATATTGTGGGAATGCACTGCTCTGGAAATGGGTCCCCATCAGGAGAGCATGCGGGTCACCACAGCCATTGAAGATGGGGCCAGCGTAAGTAGATCAATTATCTTGAAAACATCACCTCTTTTTGTGAAGGTCAGTCTAGACTTTGAGGTGGCTGAATTAATGAGGCTGCAAAACTGGAGAAGAAGAGACAGGGATCTGGGTCTACTTACCAGCTTTGAAAGTGACAATGCATTTCAGACAGGCAAATTCAGTAGCGTCTAACCGGAGCTGTCTAAACCGAGCCACCACCTCTTGTAAAGCCTGTATTTCAGATATGATCTTGTTCAGCTTCTGGGAATCTGTGTTGTCACCATTCATGCCTAGAATAAAAATACGGGATAAATATTCTAATATGAAGGCATTTTCATGATTTAATATTGATTTTTGACAAAATCTTGCATATCAATATCTATTCAATTGTCACTCTAAGATATCTGATTCCATGTAAACTGGCTATATTGTATGAAAGTTAATATAAAATCTTCTCTTGGATGATAACAAACACAGTAATTTGCATTTAAATAACAATGCAAGCAGTCATGAATACAACAAAACAACATTATTTGCATTTAAATATAGATTTATAAATGACAGGTATACTCTATTGTTCAGCAGGAATTTGTTATTCTTTACATGTTGTTCTTTTTTCAGTAATGTATTTTTATGGTAATTTCTACAACAAAGTCATTAAATTGTGCAATTCTTACCAGATACAGCCAGTAGAGTGTTAGCATCAACCGGAATGGCCCATTGTGCTATTCCTAGAACAAACAGTTCTCTCCAAGCATCTTCCAAAAGCATCAGCTGTCATACAATAGATGTATAATATAATATAGTGTGTAATTTATAAATTTATAAACAATTTCAGTATGTAAATTTCCATTATTTTAAAAAGTGCTTTAAATGCCTGTCTTTGGTAATTTTTTTCCAAATAATCTAGCTTTCCCTTATTTCCCATATTTTCCTTTTTGAAAAGGTGCCTATAGATGTGCACATGCATTTGAGAGTCAGCCGTTCCAATTCCTCAAAGTTTGCTTCTCTCAGAAGAGGATTCACCCCTTTTGTCCTTATATCCACCCATTCCTGACCACCTAGAAACTTCTCCAGAGACCCAGGATCTAAGAAATATCACCAGTGCATGGCAGGTGGACTCCCCAGTACAGAAGGCTGTTATTGTCAGGAAGAGGATTCCTGACTAAGCTGACAAGTGTGGGTCCCCATCTTCCTGGAAGGTTGAGGGGGTTGGGTTGGTGAGAGGGGGGAGAGGGAGAGAGAGAAAGAGAGATCACTAATTCCCAAGAGGCATGTGGAAAATCAGGGTATAATTATGTTAATCGGGTTTTGCTGAGTTTACCTCATCTCACTGCCTGATTTTTCCTAGACTCATAAGTGGACAGCATCAAGGTGCTTGTCATTTTCATTCTAATAAAATGCGCTACTGAATATTTAAAATGAAAATCTGCCTCCTTTCCCAAATTAATATACTAGATTCCACTTCACTGCAGTTTGCTTAGGGCTAAGTGGCAGACAGTAAGTAAATTCTGTTTGGATTAAAGAGTCTACAAATACTTGTTTTGAGCAAAAAAAATATAGCCAATTTGCACACATACAAACACACACATACACACTAACAGAGCAAATGCGTAGAGCCAACCAGTAAACTTGGTCAAAGATAGGATCTAACAGGCTTGAAAAAAATCTCTAGTTTTGAAAGAAATCTCTCAAAACTCAGCCAATTCTGAATGATTAATATGAAAGAATTTCCTTTTAGGAGCTAAGAATCATGAAGGCTTGCTACCAAAATCACAAACAAATGGAAAGTTTGAATTTTCAAATGTGTTATTTTTAAGTTTTATCATATTAAGTACAGGAAATAATAATTGTAAAGTGCAAGGTAAACTGTATGTAATTATGGATATATTTCATGCTAGAAGATAAAATATTTTAACACATTGCCCAGTCTTTCTTTTGTTTTGTTTTTGGGATGCTAGGGATGGAACTCAGGGCCACTGAGCTACATCTCCAGCTCTGCCCAGTCTTTCTAAAGGAAACATATTTCATATTAAAGCTCACTATTATGCTTTAACTGGGTATAAAATGAAGAGTTAAATCTTTGCCTTTTAGAATTACTTACTAGAACTGGGGGCATAGCTTAGTGGTAGAGCAATAGCCTATAAGATGCCCTGGGTTCATCTCCAGCATGGAGAGGGAAAGAATAAAAAAAAACAAAAAAAACCCTATATATTAGCTTTCTGGGAAATTTGTCATTAATTTCTGTGAATGCATAGGTAATAGTCAACGGCTGTAAATGCCTCAATTTCTTTTCTTTCCCTTAAAGTTAGAAAAACGCTGGCAGGGGCCATTATTGATATTCCTAACAACAAAATTTCTGGGTTTTGGCACCATGCAATTTTTAGCTGCACATAATTTTCCTGCCTCTGAATGTCATTGTAACCACAGAATTATGCAAAATGCCTATTTGTTTACAAAATGCCTAAAAACACTTAAAGAATCACAAAAGATGCTAGCCTACAGGAGGTGTGCAATGTGCTCTTTAATTTCACATGCAGATGAATCAATAGTTAAAATCTTTAAAATCTCAATGGAAAATATAAAGCTGAGAATATGATATGATGAGACTAATTCCAAAAATCTCATGGGTGAATACTCTTACCACCTTCTATTTCTCACAGTTCCAATGTTCCCAAGAAAACACTATTTTTTTCCCAATGGTTTTAAAAAGCATTCACATTTTAAAATTTGAGGCTAAATTTGATGTTTCCATTAAACTAAAAAAGCGATAATGTTCTTATATGTGTTTTTCATAGATCAGATCCAGCTTTTCTGAAATAACATAATTGCATTTCTTACTAACAATTCCATAGGCAGATAACTTGAATTTTTAGAAAGATGATGGTAAAAATAAATGGTTTCTTCATTATGCCTAAAAATGCATGCCTACCTTGGTGATTTATCCAGGTACTGAGGTATTGTACCTTTTGATATGGTTGAGTACTATTGCTTCCTTCCCAACTCTCTTTCTTTTTTTTTTTAATATTTTTTAGTTGTAGTTGGATTAATGCCTTTATTTTATTTATTTTATGTGGTACTGAGGATCGAACCCAGCGCCTCGCTAGATGAGCACTCTACTGCTGAGCCACAACCCCAGTCCCCCAACCCCCTTTCTCACAAGACTTCTGTGTCCTGTTGATCATACCTGGTCTTGCAAAGACAGCGTGGAAAAAGCTGGCACACTCTTAGCCCACTTGATGCTCATAAAAAGAAGCCTGGCAGCTGATTCACACACTGACTCTGTGGCTACTTCATAGAGATACATTGGGGTACCATTCACTTCGTGGGGGTACTAGGAGGGAAAGAGAGACACCTGGACGTGAGGAAACAATAGCTTTGGAAGAAGTGCTACACTTTTGATTTTCTAAATAAAGCAGGGGAGGGGATGGAAAGAAATCTATAGGTTCCCCTTAAATGTACAGTTGCCATAGGTGGGTAAAAACCACACATCTGCATCTACAGAGTTTTGGAAATAATGCCTGTTGAGGAAGGCCCATTTCCACTCTTTGGGGGCTTTTCCCTTCCAGAGGGGTGTCTGACTTTTCTATCCCCTACAGGAAATTTTCCTTGGGCTGAGCCAAGTACCAGGCCTGTCTCCCAGTTTAAACAAGTGCGGCTTGCATTTGTGTAAATAAAAATAGATATGAAAAAAGTATAAATTAATAGGCATCCCAAACACAAATATGCATATGAGTATTTTTAGAAAGGATTAGTATATTATGGAAATATTTCAATTAGACATCTTAATCATTCACAGAGCATTCCCATTCATAACTGACAACATATTCATAACACTACTTTTCCAAGCTTATTATACACATCAAGGGTAAGAAAGCAATATTAAATATTGTGCGTGTGTATGTGCCCAGGTGTTTGGCTTCCCTGCAGTGTGGGGCTGCAGCTGGCCCTCCTCTAGGGAAAATCCTGGGCCCTTCTCCCTCTGGAATGGGAACCTTGGTGAGGTATTTGCTGGAGGCCTGGAAAATAGTCCCTAGGTGGCGCCTTCCCAGGTGGTTCAGGCTGTGACCCTGCAAGTAGGGGCTCAATCTTGATGTAAATCCTTGTGTCTCTTAAGGCAGTAAGGGGAGCAGTAACAGTGCGATCTACACATTTCTCTCTTGCACCACCGCTTTGGAGACCCACCACTTTGCCCAAGATAATAGATCCCAGAGATTCACAACTTGGGAGCCCTTACTCCAGATGAGCTGACTGCTTTTTTCTAAAACAAAAATCTGTTCTTCCGGCCTTTGGGAACACCTAAGGCTGCCCACCCCCCACCCCGGGGTTGGACAAGCTCCACTCCACCACCAATCACTGCTGGGGTTTCCAAAAGTTGAAAGTTTTTGGCCTTCACCCCAAACTTGCTGAAAGGGAATTTCTGGGTTATGGTCCTGGTAGTCCACATTTGTAGCCACTGTACACTACATTTGTAGGGCGACTCTACACTAAAGTTTGAGAATCTTTGGCTCAGAGGAGACAGAAGCCTAAAGGTGAGCACCCAGGAAGTCTTTTGTCTGAACTCATCACAATTTGGAAGAATTCAGTGAGCCTTACTTCACCATCTGCTAGGTTCGAGTCTCTTAGGGCCCAGCAAGACCACTAACCTTGGGTGTGGGCTGAGCCAGGCTCACGAGGGTCTGACGCTCTGGAGTGGCGGACACTGCGGCCAGCTCCAGGCTGTGCGGCTCCAGCTGTGTGACCGCGGTGAAGAAGGCGGGAGCTGGCAGAGCAGCGGACGGGAAGTGCGTGGCTGCCCCGTTCTCCTCCTTGTGTCCACGAAAGTAGAGGGCCACCTGTTTGCGAATGGTGGATGTCCGAGGACCCCTCTCGTGCTGCACAGCTACAGAGATGAACAGGCGGACAACACATTCAGGATCAGAGATGCCGCCCACTTGGCGGTTCTGTGCTCAGCGCCACCTTGCCTCCATCCCAATGTCACATTAGGGCTGGGAAGTCACCCGAGAGGCGCAGAGAGGGAGGGAGAGGGAATGTGAGCGCAGAAGGCGCTGTGTTAGCGTTTAACTCCTACATTGTATGGATTAGGAAGCTGAGGCCAAGAAGAGGAGCCTGTATCCCAAGGGCCACCATAATATTATGGCTTTAAGCAAAACTAAAAGTGTTCTCGTGGGTTCAGGGCTCATTCTCACCCAGGGGCTAGCAAGTTAACCACAGACTCTTGGGCAGGAGTAGCGAAGTGCCCTGCCCCCCCCAGCCCCCACGACGGGGATAGGGAGTGTCACTCACATCTAGGCACAAAGTCTCTGGACAGATATTTCCAGCTCCTCCCAAAAACAACTCCCCCGACCTCCAGACCCGCCCCCAAAGGAATAGCTTTGGCCTTCAAGGCCCCAAGAGAAAAGGACCCGAGCCCCGGGGACGCTGGGGGATGAGACATGGGAGAGCTCCTCTCCGAGTGCGCTGGAGGAAGGCAGGGGAGATGTGACAATTACCACCAACAGTTTAAACAAACAAATTAATTCAGGGCAATCTTCCGCCCGCCGAGCTTGACAACTTGTCAATACAGAAGTTCAACAGGTTGGACGCTCCCTCCTTCCTCCTGAGCAGCGGAGGAAGGAGCTTTCCCGGAGAGGCGCTGTGCCTCAGGCGGCTGCCACCCGCCCAGGCCTCCTCCACCCCAAGGCCCACTCGACACCCTGTCCCTAGACAGTATTCGGCCCTCCCGCCCAGAACCCCCGGTTCACCCCCGGGGTTGGAGGGCCCTCGCCAGGCCACGATGGGGGACTCAGCTCGGACTGCTCTGTATACCCAAGAAGCATCCTGAAGCCCAAGGGGAACTGGGTGTCGGAGGCACCCAAGGCGTCACCCCTTTTCTCGGTTTCCTGTAGAACCGAGAAAAGGCTCTGAAAAAGCCTTGACCCGCCTAATGGACCTACTGATTTTGGCATCTGTGAATTTGCAAAAAGGAGCTTGAATTTCCAGATTTCGTGCCTCAATTTCTTCTCCAACCCGCCACCATCTCAGCCACAATCTCCCCCCAAGGAGATTATCTAGATTGAGATTCTGGGGGAAGGAAAACAGTCTTGGGGATGGCAAAAAAAAAAAAAAAAGGCGAAAAGACTAGGACTCAGGCGGGAAACACCGTGTCTGGAGCTGCGTGAGTTCCCCCCAACGCTGACATTCTGAGGATGCTTTGGGGGGCCAAGTTTCGGATTTGGGCATGGGCCTTGTCCTGGGGAATTTAGTGGGGTGTGTGGGTGACTCATGAAAAGATGAAGCAGATACGACTGAAAGCCCAAGGCCAATTCCCAGCATCTGGAAAGAAGGGTTGTGTTCAGGAGATGATTTGCATGCATAGGAGTGCCATGTATTATGTGAATATATAATTTACTTACTACTCAATCAACATTAGAAGAATAAAGGGATGTACTGATTACCATCTTTGTTCATGTTGACTTCCAAACACTTCTTCAGCCGACACGCCCTGCACTGGTTCCTGTGTGTCTTGTCTACCGGGCAGCCTCCCTGGAACAGAGTGCAGGAGGTCAGCCGCCCCCGGGGGACTAGAAGCCCCCTCTAGTGCCAGGGCGAGAGGAAAGGCATAGGGACCTCGCCAGACCGCAGACCCCGGGGCAGCAACCGCAGGCTCTCGAAAAGAGACTTGGGCCAGGTAGCGAGCTAGGGCTCCCGGGCCTACTGCAAGTGGGTTAGCCCCTGATTCTTCGGATCGACAAGAAGGAAAAGTCCTCCTCTCAGCAGGTGAAGGGTCAGAAAGCCTGGTTTGCCAGATCCCGCAGGGCTGAAAGAAGCCCTCGAAGGGCAGTTTCGCCAGTAGCAGAATGGTTTGTAACGAAGAGACTTTTCAGGACCCAAGACAGCGACTTGGCCCTGAGCTTGGTATGAAGCAGTCTTGCGGGTCAAGATCCACCCTACATCCTCCTCCCTGTTAACTATTCTTTCTGCTTTCAGGTCTCCAGTCTACCTCTTTTGCCACTTTCTGGGTGAGCCCATTTATCTGACAGATAAATCTTTCCCGTTCATTCTTCACTGTTCTGTTATCTCACCTTTGCTTTTGTACTTGAGGCCATTCTTATAACCAGCTTGTTGAGACAGCTCTCAAGTCTTAAAAACTAGCCTCAGTTCAGATTAATGGAAACACAGGCATTCCCAGGGAGTGAGAGAAAAGCCAGAGTGCGTAGGATGGCAAGGCCTTCCTACAAAAGATGAGGGGATGAAAGGAAGAGCCCAAGGTCTGGGGAACATCTAGAAATGTCTACTGTGTAAATACACCCTCCTGTATAAGTACTTGGACTGTCTGACAAAAAGATAATAGGGACAGATAGTATTAGCATAAAAACTGACAAATGGGTAGTTGCCACTTTAGAAATATTTATCCCACACAAGTAAGACAATAAGTGTTTTACCTAGTGCAGTTTTCTGGGGAAAAAGTGTTGACCATAAAAAGAGGAAATTTACAGGTTAGGTTTCTTTCAGAATTTATTTAGTGTTAGGTGTAATTACTGAGGGAACATATGCATAGATACATAAGGAGGAATATGTACTTTTTATTTTTTATTTAATATTACTTTTGGTGGTGCTGAGGATCAAATCCAGGACTTTGAGTATGCTAGGCAAGCACTTTACCACTGAGCTACATCCACAGGCTGTGCATAGTTATTTTATTCACAGAAAATATCAAAGAAATTTGGTGCTTTCCTATATTTATATAAGTTGCCATCATTGCATTTGTTGTGGGAAGGAAGAAAATAAAATATATGTCTTTATATTTTGCTTCATATACTCTGAAATAGGAGCAAGTACATTTGCTCCTGAAATATCCCTTAGGGAAAATAACACACTTACACACTTGAATGTTTAGTTTTATATGATTATACTCCTCCAATTAAAAATATGTTGCTTTGGGCCAGGGGTCTAGCTCAGTGGTAGAGTGCATCCTTAGCATGCATGAAACCCTGGGTTCAATCTCCAGCACCAAAAACAAAGCTAAATAAAATAATATGTCTATTTGTTTAAAGTAAAGATGGAGACAGTTCATAAAAATGTCTAAATATCTTCATTGCTATTAATGACAAATTGAAATTTTATTTACCTAGTCTTAAAAGAGAGGAAAGAAAAAAATTAGTTTCTAAGAGTGTTCTTCAGGGCATTTTGGGCCAGTATAATAACTCAATGTAAAGAGATTTAAAGAACTTATTAAATACAATCAAAGGTTTGTCCCCAAATGATATCTTCCCAGTATTCTGATAAATATGCAAATGCAAATTAGAAACCTTTATTAGTACTTAAGTGTGTCTTCACATCAGATAAAATGTATATAGATATCTGAAGGCTGAGAGAAGAAGGAATGAGCGCCTCAGCTCAGCCTCTTTATTCTCTTCGCAAGAAAAGGAACACCAGGCCTGATGAGTCTATTATCCCTCCTGTATAAATACTTGGACTGAAATCAATATGTGTGGATGGCCACCTCCTTTTAAAATATCAAGCATAACATCTGAGGCTTCCCAATTCTGCATCTTGCACAAAAGTAAAAGATTATCAAAGTAGAAGCCTGTTCAAATCTGAAAACACACAGTAATCCCAGCCCTGTGGAGCTACTGGGATACAGTCCTATGTCTGTTTATAAGATGATGTGTCCATAAGGTGAAGCTAGAAACAGATACAGATCTCAATTAAACAGGTAACAGGGCTGAAGAGTTGAAAATGACATCCGAATGCAAATATGTTCATGTATTTGCTGCCAATTCAAAGCTATCAGAAATTGATATGAGCAGACATGCCTGCAGAAAAAGAAGTCAGAATAATTCACTAGCATCAGATGAGGTATGCATGTGCTCATGTGTATCATATACATTAATTAGTGAAAGCCTTGTGTCATTTTGGATACCAAAGGATGCCTCCTGACTAATGCCCTCTCAGGGATCTTCCCAGGAATGAAGGCAGAGACTCTGTACTGAGGGCCTGTATGTCTGGCTAAAGAGAGAGCAAAGTGTACTAACAGCAGGTTTGATCTCCTAGGTTGAAATAAGCTTATAACTGAGCTGTAAACTGAGTCAATCAGGAGTTTTAGCTCACGATGTCTGAAAGCTTTGGCTCATACTCAGTTCATACCCTGAATGCCCTGTCTCTTGGAGACTAAAACACAATTAGGCATATCTTCTAAGCAGAAAGGGTGGAAGGAGATATGGGAATTTGGGAAGGAGCCCAGTTACACCCTCTTTGGGTCTTCTTCCTCACCCTGCCCTTTTCTGACAAGGCCCTGCTAAAGTAACATGGGTGCTGAAGCCCCATCATCCACTTTCAGAACAGCTCTGCTTCTCCCTAGCTGAAAAGGGATGGTCCATCTCAGAGCACTGTCTCTGTCTTCCAAGTAGCTAAGGCTTAGTAGTGGTGACCTTGACTCATATGCCCATGTGCCTTTACTTCTGCCATCCCAGCCAGTGGTCAGTAGACTGAACCTGGGTGCTGCTAGAAATGGGGGTCAGGTAGGCAAGCAATTTAAGGTAGCCCTTTCTCCTGCTTGATTCTTGTGGTTTAGATTCTAAAGTTCCTTAGGTCTCCTGGGCAGGCTTGTAGCCACTAGGCAAGGGCCTTACCCAGTGTCAAAATCTGTCAGGGGATTAAAAAAAAAAAAAGTGTAGGAAGGCTATGAGATTTCAGACTTCCTCTTGAAAACTCATCTGTCTTCCCTCACCTTATCCGGCCTTTCCAGAGCCAAAGGGCCTCCCAGAGCTGGGGCAGGAAGGAGGGGAGAGGAAGGGAGAGGCCGGGGCCTGGCCTCTCCTCTGCAGCATGGAAACGCAGAGGAGGCCTTGGCACAAAAGAAGGGGAGGTATCAGAGAGGAGCCGGGCAGTGCAGCCCTGGCTAAGGTACCTGGTTTCCAGATTTGCAGACATATGTCCTATTCCTTCGGATACTCCTCTTGAAAAACCCCGAGCAGCCGTCGCAAGCGTAGACCCCGTAGTGTTTCCCCGAGCTGCGGTCACCACACACTTTGCAGGGGATATCTAAAATGCGGCCTGAAATGGCAGGGAAGACAGGGTGTGTGGGGCGGGGGGCGGGGGGAGCAGTAAGAGGCAAGAGGGAGAGGAGGGCGGAGAAGAGGGAGGAAAGGGGAGAGGGAGAGAGAGATGCTAAGCAATCTGACCTCTGAAGGGATTAGCATCGAAGCTGCGGTAAAAGCAAATAATGAAGTGATTTTATAGCCAAACTTTTTTTCCTTGAGCAAGTGTCAGTTTCCTACAATGAGCATTATTCATGCACCGCTACATGTATTTGGGTCTCCCCTAATCGCCGAGACCCATTTTGGAATAAAAGATTACAGCAGGCCCGGGCGGCAGCAGTGCCCGCCGCTGCCTTTCTGCTCCGCGGAAAGTTTGGCCGCCTCCCTCCTCAGCTCTTGCATTTAACAGACAAAGTTGTTAGTGAGCGCGCGAGGAGACAAACTTGAAATGTAAAAGGGAAAAGAAGAAAAACAAACACGGCTGGAACCAGGGATGGCAGCTGGAAGGCAATCGAGAGTTTTCTCTGAGCTCTGCCGGGCGGTTGTTATTATTAGGATTATTATTGTGATGCTAATACTCAGATTATTAATGATAATAAGGGTAGTGGTAATTGCCCAACTTTCTCTTTTTACCTATTAAGAAAATGCTTGGTGGAGCGCTTTTGAGAAACTATTATTATTTTTTAGGATAAAAAATTCTGCGTAAAGTAGCACGGGTCTAGGAAGAGAGAGGAGAGCGACATTAAGTTGTCCCACGATAGCGTGGGACAGCCATCTCTTCTACTCTCCAAGTTCTTTTACCCTAAAAGACCGGCCTCCTCTTATTTAGTCCTATGTGAGTCTTCCTCCGGGTCGTTCTGCCGCTGGCAGAGGCTGATTTTTTTTTTTTTAAGGTTCTAATTTCTCTAGGCTGTTTCCCCACCCCCACTGAACTCCTGCTCCAGAGAACTTTACTTGGAATCCCCCCTGAACCTGGGGTGGTCGCGGCCCCTGGGGGATTTAGGGAGAAGGCAATATGCAAAAATTCAGAAAGGGGGGAATTGTTTTCCTCTAAGGTTCAAGAGTCCAACAAGTGCCTGAATCCGTTTATTGGGATTTAGAAATCCTTCCTTCCGTAAAACAAAGGGAGTATTTTAAAAAGTGTTAACACTTTAATAAAATATTACTTAATAACAATTAACTTATTAACACTTGATTTTCCCGTCGCTATCCGTCCAAAGGCCTCCCGTCTGGGCCCGGGAGACCTCAGGCCTCTTGGAAACTCGACAGCTGCTCCCAGAGCACTTAGATTGGGGTCGGGAGAGGCCAGAGACCACTCTGCGAGGGGAACTAGGAAGGTGAGGACGCGGCCTGGGGAGGGACCGGGAGGCGTCCCAGGTGGAAACTCGCTTGGACTCCGAGGCGTCGGGTCGGGCTTGCACCCGGGGCTGGGGCCTCAGCTTCAGGTGGAGGGGGGAGAGAGGGGGACCGGGCTGTGAGGGGAGGTTGGTAACGACCAGGCTCAGCCCGGGTAATTACAACCCCGCCGCAGCACCTGCCTATAGAGCCACCAGTGACCCGTCAAAAAGAGTAGCATGGGAATTCGGACCGCGACAAAGGACGGTGGGGGGAGGCGCTCGGCGCTGCTGCCACCGCCTAGGCGCCCCCTCTCCCGCAGGGCGGGAGGGGAGGTTGTGCTAGGGGAGGGAGGGGCCGGAGAGAGCCCCTGGAGGCCACAGCGGGTCTTGTCCTCAACCCCCTCACGGAGTCTGTCACTGAGCCCGGAGGAATTCACGGCCGCCCAGGAGCCGGGCCAGCTCTGCTGCATCACTCTCACTCGGGAAGCTGAAAAATTGGTTTCCGTCTTTTGCCACCATCCTCCTCTGCATATCACACGCGCTCTGGTAGCGCTGGAGTCCGTGTTGGGGCCCAGCAATAAAGTCGCCCCAGCTATCCTCCTCTTCCCCTTGGCACTCTTGATGATGCCAAGATGAGTGTGTGGGAGGAGCAGTGACGGGGTCTTCCCCGCTTCCCATCCAGACGGGAGGCCAAGGACACACTTCCCTGGAGAATCCGATGGGGGTGAAGGGATTGGTGACCCTTCTCTGGCTCCCTGGGCCCGGACTCCCGGTTGGTGGCTACTTGGGCCGCCACCGCTGCAGGCCGGCCTTGCCTTGGGGGCAGACCTCGGGGCCGAGGCTCCTGGGGCAGATTAGAGACAGGAAAATGGGCTGGGGGGGGGGGGGCCCAGGAGGGAGGGACGCGAAAATTCCTGGGCATAGCGGGTCTGTGCCTCAGATTCCGCCACCCAGCCACGTTAGGGTGAGTTGGGGTCACGAGACACACTGGTTGACCCTGTTGCAAAGCTCCTCTCATTTAGCAAGCCGAGCGAGCTCCGACCTGAGGCGAGCCGGAGTTTCCTCAGGCTGGAAAACCGTTCTTAACTTCCCTCGCCAGGGGGTCCCCTCGGGGCTTTTTGTGTGTCATAATTGCCTAAAGATATATGGCAGCTTCGATTACTGTAATTACCATCAGAGGCTGTTGAAAGAAGTTAGTCTGGGCTGCAGGGGTGACTGGCCAGGGTCTTGTTACCACCCAGGCCGGGCTCCGGGTGACATCGCTCTGCCCTCCAACTGCGCGAAGCCGAGCGAGGCGGGAGATGAAGACCTCCGCAGTCCAGCCCGGTCCTGACCCGGCCTGCTGCGCGCCGACCCCCTCGCAGCCCACGGCTGGAGGGCCGCAGGTTTCGGGCAGGCTGCAGCCACAGGTCTGAAGAGCGCCTGGGCGCAGCAGCGCTGGAGGCAGGGGCTGCTGTCCTGCCGGCCTAAGCAACCTCAGCAGCGGCGTCCAATTTGAGCCGGGCTTAAGGCTTCCAAGGTCGAATGCAGGCTTGGCAAGTTGGGAAGCTCTCAAGTTTCACTAATGTGCCCACTCTGCCTTCTCCCACCCCCAAATCCTGAGGGTCCGCCTGTAGTCCAGTCCACAGAGAGGGCTTGCCCACTTCCTGGCCACTGAGCCCTCACCTTTCAAGCCCCCAGTTATCTCCGCACCCCAAGAGGGCAAAAGAGCTCGAGGTTTCTTACTTCCAGGGCGGGAACCGAGGGCCTGTCCCAGGGCGAAGGAGCCAGGAGGCCTGCCCAGGCCCGAGAGCTTCGTTTTTTGAAACAGACTTAGAATGCCCCAGGAAAGGCCTCCTTCTGCGCCTCCAGTGAAGGGCAGGCACTCCGGGAACTGGGGCAGCAAAAAGGGAGCCCGCCTCACCTCCCGGAGATTCTAACAGTGACGGCAAGGGTAGGCCCGAGGGACCTGCCAGTCCTGCGCAAGGGTCGACTGTGTGTTCCGGTCGCGGCTAAGATCCCTTCTCTTCTCTCTGCTCTAGCCCGAAATATTCCTCCTTTTCTCTTTTTGTTCACGCTCACTTTGCTCTAATTTTTTTAAACGGCATTACCCTAATCAAAACAAGTGAACAAAATAAAAACACCACCTACTTCTTGCGGGGGTGGAAGGTAGGGGCGGGAATTGCATCCCTCCTAAGTGGAACTTCATTATCAGTCCTCACAAGTATCTTGGACTCTCCCAACTTTCAAAGACTCTGGACAATGAGGGCGAGTGAGGGGGGAGGGGGCGGGAAGGACGCACTGAGCGTCAAAAATGTTATAGGCGAAAACCACACCGGCTGCGGGAGAACTCCGGGATGTGAGGGCTGTGGCAGCCACAGTCCTGTACACTGGAACCCGCAGCCGCCTACCCGGAGAAGGCGGGAACTGAAAAACCTGGGGGGAGATCCGAGCCCCGCGGCCTCGCTTTCCCAACGCCGGCGCAGGCCTGCACATTCTCGGGTTCCGCTGGGACTGCATACACAAATGTCCTCACGCTCACAAGTAGCCCTGCAGTCCCGCAGTGGGGTGGGTAGAGGTCAGCTACGGGTTGGCAGTGGGTGAGAGTGGCAGCGGCTAAGGAAGTTTGAGGAAGGAGAGAGCGCGCGGAGGGAGCAGGCCGCGTACTCCTGCCTCTACTGAGCTTCGGCTCGAAAAGTCCTTGGGATTAGGGATTTGGTTCTCTCTTTGCTAGAGTGGTTCGCCATACTTTAAATTCCCCAGTTATGACCTACGCGGATTTAGGATTAAAGAAAATGTGACTTTTAAATTGTTTCTGCTTCCCAGTTTTGCAGGATTATTTGAAATAGCTAGAAAAGGGGTGCAAAGCATTCCATTCAAAATCCGCTTTGCAGAGAGTTGCTTTTGCGCGCTGGAGCTCCGAGTTTTGAGCGAATGTGTTATTGTGCTGCCGCCTGGAGCTGCGGCCCAGTTCCCGCCCCCGTCGCACCCCTCCCATCCCCAGCACCTGGCGGCTAAATGGAAACAACTCGCTGGACTGGTGGGCTGAGTGGGTCGCAACCTTCCCACCACACCAGAGAAAGGGGGAGTCTAGCAATCCAGAAGCAACGAAATTGCTCTCCACTCTCCACGAAACCATCCGACTCACGGTCTACGAGGACCTGGGCCAAAGGGCACTCGCCCGCTGACATCCCTCTCCGGGGCTCAGGAGCCGCAGCGCACCGAACAGGATCTCCCCGGCCTCCCGCCAGCCCGCCCCAGGCTGCGCGCCTGGGCCCCACCGCGGCGGGGAGAGGTACCCACTTGTTGATCCTGCCGGCTTGCTCATGCTGGCGGTCCCGGGGCGGAGCGGTTGGTGGGCACTGCCGGAGTCCCGGCCGGCAGCGCCCGCCTCGCTGCCGGGCGCCGCAGCTCGCCAGCCGCCCTCCAGCCTGCAAAGCTTCGGGGCCCGACAGGTGGGTATCGGTCGCGCGCGGCGCTGCTCTCCCGGTGCTCAGAATTCGTTCCACAGTGGAAATTTAAGCATCCTTAAGTTTCTTCCCGCCTCTTGCAAAACTGCGGCTGCTGGGATTGCTGCTTAAGATGGACATACACATGGACAGACAGATGGAGAGATGGACAGGAAGGCTGAAGAAGGGAGGACAGTACGAGAAGGGTATTGAAAGACAGATGGAGACACGAAAAATGGTCTGCCTATGGAACAAAAAGGGTAAAATCCCTCTCTTTCCCCATTCCTGTCACTCAGTCTTCAACCTCTCCCTCTACATAGGCATGCAGAGTGTGCAGATCTCTACAGACCGCTGGTCTTCTAAAGAAAGATGGAAAAACACAACCGCAGGCTCAGAGGCAGATGGGCTCCGTGCTGCCGGAACCCGAGAGCCGAGTGGGAAAACTAGATTGCTGGGAAATCTTCCGAGGGAAGAAACGGCCAGGTCCGGGTTTCCGGGGAGAGCCGCGCACGCAGCGGCAAAGGGTCCCCGAAGTTCATTACCCCGTGACTTTGTGCCTGTCGCTGCGGGCTGGGTCCTCTGAAATATCTCCAGAAGCGCTCTGACAGGCAGCCGCGGGGAGGGGAATAGGGCGTCCCTGGCCCACTTAGCTTTTCCCCCAACTCCTGGCGGGGTCTGACGTCAGCCATGTGCGGGGAGGAGATGGGAAGAGGGAGGGGGTTAAATGCTAATGATATTAATGAACCTCCAAGCGGCTCCCAAAGAAAATGCAGGCGCTCTCGGAGCTGACGAGTTAGAGTGTGAATATGGGAGTGAGGCTCTGTGCGTGCGTGATGGTGAGGACGGTGCTGCTCTTGTAATAAAAATGAATTATTATATTTCATGGTAAGGGAGAAGGGGAGGGGTGATGGGGCTTTCTCAAAACGCTTTCCCCCCTCTCTCCAGAGTGCCAGACAGATAAATTCGTGGAAGAAATGGGGTGGCTGTGTTTGTGTGTGATTGTGCACGCTGGACATAGCCACATGAGTTGGTTCATTCTTGGTCCCGTGCCTCTTCTGTTGGGTAAAAGTTGGATCTGGCCCGAGGTGAGTAATGTATTCATTTTGCAACTCTCTATGAAAAGTCAGAGCTGAGGATGCTGTGTGCGGTCATGGGGCCTGGGACGGGTTCTTGCGGAGGCACCGCGTTCCTTCGACCTTCCGCGTGGTGGGTTTGGGCACTTGATGTGTGGGGAGGGCAACGCCAGTTTCTCCCAAGCAAAACCGGCCCATCCGGAACTGAAGGAAACTCCGGTGACTCCGTTATGCACATTGGAGAGGCTGGAAAGCAGAGCTTTCCCTCCCGCAGCTTGTCCCCAGCGGGCGTCGCTGGCTCCCTCTCTCCAGGCTCAGAGATTCTGGAGAGGTCCCCCACTCCTGCCCCATCCCACTAGCCTTCCCGCGATTTCTGAGCTCTGGCGTCCTGGTCCTTGCACAGCGCTGGGAGAGCGCACGCCAAGAGAGCGGTGATCTCCGATCACTAAGAGATTAATTCTCTTTAAGCTCTTTGGGCAGCTTGAACTTGTTGAACAAGAGCTTGCTAGCCTCTCCTCAGGGCGTGGGCCTGGCCAGGGGTCAGGGGTCATGCCTCCGGCCCTTTGCACGGTGTTCTGGGGTGAAGGAGAGGTGGCCAGCGCTAAGTAATTCCTACCTCCCGCCCCCAGTCCCCGGCCTCCACTTTCTCCGGACTCGGTGTCAACTTGAATCTCCAAATAGAATTTGTGCATGGAAGTGAGTGCTTGAGTTCCCCGAGCCCACGGAAAACGCAGCAGATCGACCCCCCACCAGCGTCCCAGGGGGCGCAGGCTGTTAATTCGGGTTGGCGGCCTCAACACGTGACCTCAACTTTCCACAGCTATCTCGCTGTGGCCTGAAGCCCCAGGCGGCGCACACCACGCACACCGGATCCCGCGTCCTCCTCACAATGCAGCCAGCAGGGCGCGGGGGCCCGGGCGACCCGGAAAGAACAAGAGGTGGATGACTATTTCCTAAGTCATCCTCGGTCTTTCGAATTGGGACGAGATTAGAGCATTGCGGGACAAAGCCATAGCCTAAGAGATTTTTTAGGTAACAAGCCGAGAAATCAACATTTTTTCTTTTTTTACGGTCAAGTTGGGCAGACGCGTGCGCATCGAGCCCTGTGTGCGACTAGGCAAGCTCGAACTCCGCGCCCAGGGAGCAAAAGGATTTCCGGTAAGGGTTTGAGAAACAATTAAGATGCCAGGCTCTGTTTTGGATCCTCAGGTTCTGGTTCCCGCCAGAAATCCACTTGCTGCTGCTGCCGCCACCACTACCACGATCAGGATGCGGAGGCGGAAGGGGGCGCTTGGTTAAGGACAAAGAACTTCAAGAGTCAAACTAATTTGTCTCGGGCAAAGATGAGGGCAGGGGTGGGAGACTAGACCCGGGCCTGTCTCTAGGGGAAAGTTTAAGTGTGTGTAGCCAGGAGGAGAACTAGGAGCTGCTTTGTGAGTGCGGGGGCTCAGAAATAGGACAATAATGGCTTTCCTGGGCTCCAAATCACCTCTCTCCCTATTCCCCCTCCCCACATCCCCACTGCTGGCTCATTTGCAAGCACCAGCGCTTCTGAAAAATACTCCTGAGACGCACCAAATTGTCACAAAATCAAAATCGGAATGTTCTTTCTTTCTCCTGACACCAGTTTCTAATCAAGCCGGGTGTCAAGATGTCCACTGAACACGCATTTGTGTGCGCGCGCGCCTACACACACACACACACACACACACACACACACAATCTATCCCTGGCAAAAGGCACAAACGGGCACACACACCCGCAGCATATGCGTCCTGTGTTCTGAGCGCCCGGCTGTAATTATCCGGGCGCTTTGCATAATTCACAATGCAGTTCTGAAATCATCATGATGACTTTCTGGCATGATTGGTTCGATGGTAACGGCGGCAACAAGCTCCAAGGGTAGGCGGGAGGGGCTGGGACCCACTGGCCCACCAGGTCCCAGAAAAGCATGGAGCCTAAGTGTCCATCAATCTCTGCTCACAACAAGATGCTGCAGGCCACGGGAACCTTGGCTCAAAGCTGTGGAAAAGTGAGAGCTCTCTTGGGTGCAGGTCAGAGAAGAAAGCCTCTGAGGGGCAAAGACTGTGTCTTTTAATTTTCCTGTGCATGGTCCCAGCACACTGCTTGACTCACAGTAGGTGCTACGTAAATGTTGGGTGAAGGAAGTCAATCAGTCAGTGGCAGATTTCGCTAGAGGCCACTAGAGGCCCAGCAAGGTTAACCACAGGAAGCCAGATGAGAAATCAGGCCCTGTTCCAACCTGCTGTGAACTTTGGGCAAATGACTAGACCTCTCTTAGCTGTACATAGTTATTTTTAAGGAACTCTGAGTCTGTTCAGCTTTATGTTTCAAAGATTTTTCCTGTGAGACCACTAAGGGAAATGATTAGTAAGTGGCAAGTGCCACCTATCTCAGAGATACCTTTTAAGGGAAATAAGACTTTAAGTTCCACCGGAAGGGAAAACCACAGCCCAGAGGTTCTGGAACCCTTCTGACCAGTTCTAAACATAGTTTCTCACTTCCCCTGTAGTCTCTTGTGAGTATGAATCTCTCAAACAAAATAAACACCAAAAACATAGGGAAGGCATCTTTTATTAAAGGGTATTTTTATTTAGTCCAGAAAATGAGAAATAAGACCAACAGCTGGCTCTGGGGACTCAGGAGGCTGAGGCGGGATGATCCAAAGTTTGAGGCTAGCCTCAGAAATTTAGTGAGACTATGTCTTGAAATAAAAAGAAATATAAAAGGGCTAGAGATGCAGCTCAGAGGTAGAGCACCCTTGGGTTCGATCCTCAATATGGAGTAAAGGAGGAGAGAAAGAAAGAAAGAAAGAAAGAAAGAAAGAAAGAAAGAAAGAAAGAAAGAAGGGAGGGAGGGAGGGAGGGAGGGAGGGAGGGAGGGAGGGAGGGAGGGAGGAGGGAGAGAGAGAAGGACCATGGTATCAAGGGGCATTTTCTGTCCATCCATCAACCCACCGCATTCATCAAGGGCTTGTGCACCCACTATGTGCCAGTTCCTGTGGATATAGAATAATGACATGGCCCCCTTTTCAAGGAGTCTACATCAGGGCAGGGGAGAAGATACATTAAAGTGTTTTGTGTTTTAGATTGGGGTAAAACACAGGAAACTCTAGAAAAATATGCAAGGCCTTCTAAACCAGTATGCAGTGGGGTGGGCTGTCAGGGGCTCTGTGGAAAACTTCCTGTTTTCTGAAAACTGTCTTGTGATATATAGTTCACTCTTCTGCTAAGGTCTCTTCCAGTCTAAAAAGGGAGGTAGAGGACTGTTACAAAGGTTGTGTTGAGAGAGATGGTAGAAAGCACCCTTCCAATCACCAGACCTCTGGGTTTGATTGCTAGTTCTGCCACTCATTGGCTACTCCAAAAATTAAAAAAAAAATACTATTTTATCCATTTACCATACCCCCTTCCTAAATCAAAAGACAAGGGAGAAAGGAAAGGCTTTCCCATCAATGAGCAGATCTTAGACCATTCTGCCTCCAGAAGACCCATTCCTTTAAAATGCTCTTCATCTTTATCTACAAAGAGTAAGAAATAGACCCAGGAAACTGGGAAAGCCTACTTGCTGAACTTGGCTGAGTTTTAATGTTCAGCCTCCAAAAGACACTCTGACACAAGTTTTTATTTGTTTGATTGTGTACACAAAAGAGAAAGTTCATGTTCACTGGCTTCCAAGTAATTCAACCTATGGTGTTGCTTGACTAATGGTTGGTGAGTGAGAGATGGGTCTTGGAGCAGAGTGTGTAGCATATGTGTGTGCTCAGTAAGGGCTTGCTAAGTAACAGAATGAAAGAAAAAAAGTATTGCCAGCTTGCTCCTGATTCTACTGTGCACCTCATTATAAATTGTTTTGCTCCAATCTAA